TTAATTACATATCCCGGTCCTGTGCTTCCCATAGTAAAGAACAACAACTTGCATTAGCCGTTTCCTATTTGTTTTGACTTTTTCACGAGTCTAATCATCTTTTTGTTTATACGCAGGCTGAAAAATGCGTTCTTTTACTAACAGTTATTTCTCTTTTATATCTGACGTATATGGGCCTTATGCCACTTTTCTGCTTAAGAATTAGATTATATTCAATAAGCGTTATATAAAATGCACACACAGAAGAGAATTTTTGAGATTTTGTCTTTTGCACAACATTGTTCCAGCGCATCGAACGTACATTAAACGTATCGAAAATTTTAACGTTCAGATTAATAATCCTACGAATGTCGCTAAAATTAAAATTGTTATTAAGTCCGCGGTTTTGAAAATTCTACGTTTGGAACTAAATGACACTTATCGACAGATCGACCATTTCCGCATGCGTATCTTTCGGATTGTTCGCAGTGTCTCTCATTGTTTACCCCTTCATATTCTCAATTCCTTTTTTCAGAAACAATATAAATCTCTACATCGGTTCGACAATTCCGTGTACTACTCTATCACGAAAAAAATGTCTAGATTACTCGAGAAACAGGTAAAAGAGAAGTTAAAACTAATTAAACCGGTTCGCTATTTCTATGCAATTCCCCCTCCAATTCCCGTTCCCTCTCAAATTAACCATACTCTTCCTAACAATTTAGAAATCAACGATAGTGTTTCCTTTGCCTTCAACCCCATTTCCCATGGAAATACGCATTCACACGAGATTTTCCTTTCACCGATATCCTTTTCCAATCCCCCATTACAATCTTCTTTTAACACCATAAGAAACAATTGGTTTGTAAATCTTTCTTCTGTCAATTTCTCTCCTGATATTATACACCTTCTTCAGTTGGGCGACAATTTTTCACTTCCACTCCATAATAAACAAAAAATTTTATTTGAGTTTATTAAAAGCATAGAAAATAATATTAAAGGGCTTTCGGCGCCAATGCAAACATATCTCAGAAATCGCTTAATTCCTATTATTAATGAGCTAAATTCCAACTTTAATTTTTTACCCTCCCACTATAATAAAATCATTCGTAGACTTCTTTCTTTAACTAAGGAATTTCTTCTCAACAATCCTGACATTATCCTTACCAAAGCCGATAAAGAAAATATAACCGTAGCCATGAATTCTTACGACTATAAAAATAAGATGGAACTATTACTGTCAGATGTTAACACATATGCCAAGGTCAAAAAGGACCCTATCCTTACCCTTACACGGAATGTGAGAGCATTGCTTACTAGATGGCAGAATCAAGAATTTATTTCGCCCGCTACTTATAAGTTCTTTTATTGCAGTGACGGAGTCCTTCCGAGAGCCTATGGACTTCCGAAAATTCACAAACAAAATCATCCTTTAAGAATTATAGTTTCGTTCATTGATGGACCTCTACATAATTTAGCTAGGTTTTTACATAATATAATTTCTACCAGCATCCCTAAAGCCAATAGCCATATTAAAGACAGTTTTCAATTGGTTAATAACTTAAATGGTCTACGTCTGGAGGATGATTACATTTTGATCTCTCTCGACGTTGTCTCACTCTTTACTAATGTTCCTACCGATCTCGCTATAGACAGCATTTGTAACAGGTGGGAGCATATCGCGGAGAAGTGCGATATTTCCAGAGACGAATTCATCCTCGCGGTACGACTTATTCTTGACTCTACTTATTTTAGATTCAACAACAATGTATACAAACAGAATTTCGGATCTCCCATGGGTTCTCCATTGTCTCCTGATCTCGCGGATTTAGTCTTACAAGACATAGAGACGAGAGCAATAGGAATGCTCAAATTCAGGATACCGTTTTTCTTTAGATACGTGGACAATATTGCGATGGCCATACCTCGTGATATGGCTGATTCTGTTCTACAAACTTTTAATTCTTTCCATCCACGGCTACAATTTACCATAGAGATCGGTGACAGGAAACTTCATTTTTTAGATACCACCATTATCAACAACAATGGTATTATTGAATTTGATTGGTATCATAAACCAACTTTTTCTGGTAGATATCTGAATTATTTTTCCTGTCACCCTCCTTCTCAAAAACGTGGCACCATCATAGGACTCGTCGACCGAGCCTTTTTACTTTCGCATCCAAAGTTCCACGAAAAAAATCTCGGACTAATTGTTAACATCCTTCTGAACAACGATTACCCTCTAGATCTTATTTTGGCACCATCCGTGAACGTCTTAAAAGTCTCTTTTTTAAGAAAACAAAAAAGCAAAATCTTAACAATACGGGTGACAATAGGAAATAGTTTACGGTTCCTTTTTTTCCGTCCACCTCCGTTAAATTTAAAAATGTCTTTAGAGGTTCAGACACTCATTTAGCTTATTACAGTGTAAATAAACTTAACAAACTGATCAAAGTTCAGAAAGATGCTTTACCGAATTCCGCTAAGAGCAATGTAGTTTATAAGATTTCGTGTCGTGACTGCGATGCTTCTTACGTAGGGCAGACAGGCAGACAGGCAGACAACTAAAAACCAGAATATCGGAGCTTCGCAGTCACATCAACAGAAACAGTTCTGTGCTTTCCGTGATCACCGATCACAGAATTCTCGAAGGCCACGATTTTAATTAGAACAACGTTGAGATTTTGGATTGCGAGAGATTTTATCATAAACGTCTCGTCTCGGAGGTCCTACATATTCAACAACAGCGCCACGGTCTGAACCGCCAATCAGACACTGAGTTTTTACATCACGCGTATCTACCCATCATAAACAATATTTAATTTTTGGTTGCCCTCTCTCCACACTAATTTGTAACAACGGGTCCGACCTACACACTTGTCCGCTACGGTCTCATTTCTGTTTCAACTGTCACACATGCGATTGCTACACGTTTACTTTGTAATATGCGGTGCGTTCGACCACGGTTTTTCTCGATCTGTACAAGATGTGCACCTTAATGTTAACTACGATACTATCATGACTACGACACAGTATACAGTAGCGCAACTCTCTGTCGGCACTTTTGATGTCGGTGAAGCCAGATTCACAGTACGCATGCGCAAGTTGAGCCAGTTTATACGGTAACGCCATCTGAATCTCTCTCACTTACTCTTTCTTTATGTTGTCTTTCTAATTCATTGCTATATCAGAGAAATCGAATTTTCAGATTATAAATAAGCATTATGGTTGATAGTAACTAGTTAAAAAATTAAAAGTTAAATATAAAAGTTAATAACTTTTTTAATTCAACTTAATTAATTTCAAATAAATTCATTTTTAACTTCGTTATTTTCTAATTATTTTTAAAGCATATAAAACCTAATTTATTAACTTTTTGTTGTAGTTAAAAATGTAATTATGTAAAAAAAAAATATTAATAAGATACATTCTCATATAAAAAATAATATTTTTTTTATAAACACTAAAATATTTAAACAATTAAAATAATCAATTTATTTGATGTGTATGATTTATATTATAATTATTTTATTTAAAGTAATTTAATTATAAAACATTATGTTACAACATTCTAATTTAATATAAATTTTTAAAATTAGCTTTTATTTAGCTGAAGTAAGATAAGTTAATGTAATCTCTTAATGCAATATTTACTATTTTTTGTTTATGTGACTTTTAACGTAATTAAATTATTTTTATAAATTATTTAAGTTTAACTTATAATTTAGTGTTGAAAAAATATTAACTTACCTAATTGTATAAATATTAATTGTTTATACATTATATTATATTTGTTGTATCTATAAAAGCAAACTCATAAAAAAGTATTATATGTTTGCGCTTTATAATTGATTATGTAGATGTGAAAGATATGTAATAATATTAATTTATGGTAAGTTCAGGTATAAGCAAAGTTTATATATTTTACACAAAAAGTACACGTTTTTGTTCATAAGTATATGTATATATTTTATTTTTTATTATCTAGAATCAGGTTATATCTTTGACATTTATATTATTTAAAAATACATTTGTCGTATAAAACGTGTGTATGTGTATGTAGCACGCGCGCGTGTATGATGTGTGTATGAAATACAATCTAATATACAACGTGACATTTACAAAATATTATTTAAAATTGCTAATAAGAAAAAAAATCGATATGTGTATTTCAATACAATACAAAGTTTATAATATATATACTTACGTTTTTTATTTTCTAAGATCGTATTTCAATTATTATTGCAAAATAACACATTTAGTTTAAATAATATAAAAATTTAAAGTTTTACAATTATTACAGTATAATAAACTTAACGTATGTTACATGTAAAGCATAAATTAATATGGACGCTCAATATGTCTACTTACACTTTGGCAAAAATGACTATTCAGCTTTTATTTTGTTTCCCCACAGTCCCACCAATGGTATGACAAATCTGAATAAAAAAAAATAATAATATATCTTATGAAAAATATTCTTATTTTTATCTTATCGCTATATATATATATTACAATTAGCGTTTTTTATTTCTATATATCTTACCTCCACTGTGATATTAAAAATAATCTTACATCTATCTTATCGCTACACGTGTACAAATTACAAATTATTTATAATAAAAATTATATCATGCAAGAAAGAAACAAAAATTAAAAATGTAAAATATTCCACATTTTTCTATTGCTTTGACTAACTCCTTTACGTGCCTTATTATGTTGTATTAGTGCGTAATAAATGCGCATGCGAAAAAATAATTTAACAAGGAAATCTGAGGAAAAGTTGGGACATGGAGTTTGAAAGTTAATATCTTTTATTAAAGAAAGTAAATAAGCACCAATATTTTTTTTATAACAATTACTTTCAAAATTTTTAATAAATATTTCATCTAATTTATGTATGTATGAACAAAATTGATTACTTGGAATATTCAAAGCTCCAAAAAGTTTTCCATTCTCAGTTCCATAATCACGAAATGAACAGTATAAAGTAGTGTTATCTAAAACTTGAGTAGTTTTATTTATATAATCTGTACACGCTTCACACGAATGTATTGCTAAACATCTTTTTATTAAATAGCCGCAAACGTATTTAAATGCATTTTGTACTGGCAGGTCCATAGAACGATAATCGTATGTTGGAACATCTAAAATTTTACATGAAGTAGGTGATGTATTAAAGTCGGATTCTGTAGAGTGAAGATTTGATGTTTCCATAAGATTTAACATTTCATCGAAATCTGGAGCACAATTTTTCGTATCACAATGTTGTAATAATTTAACA